GGAGCGCGGCAGCCGGGAGCCACCGGCCAAGGCCGCGGCCAACCCGCAGCTGGCCCTCGCCAGCCCGGAACCAGCCGGGAAGAGCCCCGCCTTGGACTCCGGCTCAGGCCACTGTCCTCAGAAGGAAGCACCTCGCGGCGCTCCGCAGCACTCACTTGGTCTTTGAGCAGCATCACCCCTCCGCTGGACTGGATGGTGCAAATCTCCCGGTGCTTGTTCACAGCTATCACCAGCAGGCCGTCCATCACGCGCTCCTCGCGTTCGCTGGGGTCCACCAGTAAGTATGTTCTGAAACGAATGTCAGATGGGCCTGAGCAAATCTTGCGGCAGGGTGGCTTAGAGACGTCGCGCGCACAACCAACAGAGGGAAGGTCTGTCGGTCCGAGTCACGTCGGTGGAGTAAGAGCCGCGTACTCCCGCCTCACGGGCCCACGAAGGCCCAGGGGTCCTGCTCACAGCGTCTGGGCCGCTTCACTGACGCCACCTAGCAGCCGCGAAGCGCTCGCTGTGACTGAAGGATGGCGGCGGCTCCCCAGCGAAAACTCAGATGACGCGAACTGGGTTAACCCTAAAGTTTCCTTAATGTCCAATATTCTGAAGCTCTAGGTTAAGCTCTCAGCACATTTAAAAATATATATAAAAGACACCACGCTCTGTCCAGCCCAAAGTGGGCTCCTCGCATCACCTGTGGCTGCTGAGCCCTTGACCCACAGGACCAGAACGCAAAATGCCAGATCCCAAAGGCCCAGCAGAAACAAGTGCCTCACTGCAAAGTGTGTTACACAGGAATAGCTCCTGCGTACTAATGATGCTAGATAAAATAAAATACATCAAAGCGAACTGTTAATGCGGCCAGTGGAAAACGTTATCACTGCTTGTCTTGGCTCCCGACTTCCCCCGGCCTGCTGGTCTCCGTCCTACGGAAGTCTACGCCCAGTGACCGGAAGCCGGAACTGCTCTCTAGTTCTTGTTCACAGCACTGCTGCATCACCGTAGTTGTAGCGGCCTCTGGAGCGATGCCCGGGGCACCTGTGTGCCTGAGCTCCGAGCTCTCTGCGGCGGGGAGACCCGAGTCACGGAGAAACCACCGAGCAGGAGGAGGCGGGTGCTTGGGCCGTGTGCCCACCCCAGCTCGTCTCCCAGCAGTCCGCCCCACGCCCTTGCTCCCAGCGGCCCACAGCAGTCCCACCCGCTTCTCCGACGCGAGCCTCGCACACATCCCCTGCACGTCTGGGCCTCTCGGGAGGCAGAGCCCTTCCTAGGGCAGGAGGACCCCGGAGGCAGACGCGCGGTGAAGGAAGAGCCGGCCCCCTCACCACAGCACTGGCCACTGGCCAGCAGGCCCCTGCCACCAGCGCCCTTGCAGAAAGGAAGGGGCGCGCGTCACTGTCGCAGGAGGGCTCGTCCACTCGTCCGCGGCACAGCGAGCAGAGCCGCACTCTTCACCCGAGACGCACCTACCCTTGCTGGAAAAAGGCGAAGCTGACGCAGACGGGCACGTGGTGGACGCTCAGCGGCACTGGCTCGCGCTCCTCCGGGGTGTACTGCGCGAGACAGAAGGCCGGCATCAGCCGCGGACACGGCCAGAGTCGCTCCGCGGGGACGCCTAAGGCGCGCCCTCGGCAACTCCGTCGACTCCGCCCCCCGAGGTCCTTAAAACTGGCTTCTCGAGACTCCTCATCAAGGTGGGACGTGCCCACCACAAAGCCGCCCCTCAGCACCCCGCGCTGGGCAGTGAATGCACTTGGGAACCGCCGCAACCCTGCTACCAGCATGCCCGTGGCCAGCCTCCTCGGCTCGCGCGCACCCGCCCCCAGCCCAGCCCCGGCCGCCAGCACAAAGTGGCCCCCTGAACCCCTGCAAGTCGCACATGGAAGACACTCCAGCAAGCAGGGTCGCCTGCCTCCTGCTCCCACCCGTGCACCCTCGCCTGCCTCCCAGTCTGCGCACAGTCAGTCACCCTTCCTGCCAGCAGCGAGCCTCGCGTGGACCCTGCTTGCTCTGTCTTGCCGTCCACCGGCTGACGATCACTGGGCTCCTCCCAAACGCGCTGGACCTCCGGTCGCAACATTCACACCCACACTCCCGCTGCTCCTGGGCGGATGCCCGGCTATGGAGTACGGGCCGTCTAAGCCGATACTTAACCCAACGTGCTGAACCATGTCCACAGCTACAACCCCAGAACCTCACGGATGTCACTGTCCCGTGCTGACTTCTCTCCAACGTGTTCACACCGTCTCCCACTGACGGAACGTGCCTCCACCGTCACCCTTCGGCCCCACCCCTGCAGCCTGAAAGCCCGCACCGGCCCAGCCCTGGAACAGCCGATGCCCCTGCATCCGGGCATCCGACATTTCCTCTTGCAACTGCAGGCCTCAGGCGGCCCCAGCGCTCTTTCAGCCAGTGGCCCAGTGCTGAACTGACAGGAGCCGAAGGAGTCGCCATCGGCAAACGAGTGTTCTCGGTCCAGGTGTCTGAAAGTCGCCGCACGGGCGCTGCCTGGAGGTCCCAGACATGCAGTTCTGAGGTCCCAGTCGCGCGTGCGCTGCCTGCGTGCCCCTAAGTCTCCTGGCGGTAGCGACGGCCGTCTCGCTGTGCTGAGGACACGGGTGCCACACACGGGCCCTGAGGCTGCCCGGCCACACCTAGTGCTCAACCCAAAGGCGGCAGTGTGTTCTGTTCTCCAAAGCCAGGGGAGGGGCGGCTTCTACTGACAAATACTCCGACACAGGTTTGAGATTTCGGCCTTTGGGCCCTAACCGCCGCCTCCCAGCAATGCACCAAAGTCACCAAAACACGAAGGCCCTTTAGGAAACAGAGGGGTCCCCGTGGCCACAGCCATGCACGCCCACAGCAAGGGGATGCTGTGAGCATCAAAATGGAATGCCCCACAACCGCTACCATGGCAACAATGGGGCGTCCGCAGTTACCCAGCATGCAGCTGGCACTGCTGTACACAGACACGGGGACAATTCTTAACAGGAGTAATGCTGAGAGTGAACCCATCAGACACGCTAGGAGCCAAAGTCACTTCCCCAAGTCTGTGAAGGAAAATGACCAGCGGAAGGAGGAAGTCATGGAGAAAGGAGGCCAGGAGCTGCAGCCTGATGCTCTGGGGAGAGGGCACTTGGCGAACAGTGGGGGCCCTACCCGAGTGTGACTCAGCCACTCACGGGAGCCTGGGCCGGCCAGGGCCTTACCAGCGTGACTTCGTCGCCTTGGACGGAAACGTCAGGTCTTCGGAAGTGACACAAGGCCACGATGGCGGCAATGCTGGCAGCATCGATGATGTTTCCGTCGTGATTCAGCACGTGTAAGTCCACGCGTATCTGCCACACCTGAACGGGTGTTTAACACAGAAACAAGTCCTACCTGACCACCAGCTCTGACTGTGAGAAAAGTAACAATGAATAAACACTCTTCGCGTGCTATCAAAACATGCAGTTACTCCTGCTCATGCAGCAGTAACAATAAACTTCGCAAAATTTAAACCAAACATCTAAATCCCAACAGATCACTCTTCTCAGTCACCTAAGAGTAAACTAGAGACAAAAAAGAACCACCCAACATATAATGCGGACTCCCCCGACTGCAAGCCCAATGACACTTAGAAATCTCAGGCTTCTTGGCTTCGCTTGACATATTTATGACAACCTGATTGCAAGCAGAAAAGGATCACACTCAAGTATGGGATGCGGAGAGAGAGGCTAAGTGAATTTTCTGCAGTCAAAAGATGGTCAAAACACCCTACTCAAACGCGAAGTCACCCAGAACACAGCTCCTTGAGGGTGAGATCCCGCAGCGAGACTGTCAGTGGTACTGGGTAGGCCACAAAAGTGAGAAAAGCATTTCAGTCGGTGCTCTTCTATTAAAGAAGAAAACACCAGCTGCAGCTTCTAACGATTCACTTGGGACCGTGCAATGACTGAGTCTATAAAGCCCCAGTTCCCTGTGTGGGACAATTCAACGCAAACTCATGTTGCTGTTCCCACCAGCTTTTTTCTCTTCAGAGAGAGACATGGCAGTTACATGGTAGCACTCAGGAACATCTGAAATGCAGGGAACCAGCACGGAAGCACCTGAAACTCTTGAGTGCGCTAACAGTAAAAGTTCTGGGCGAGGCCCCCACCTTTTCACCAGCAACAACACACAGAGACTCGGTGTCTATACACTTGGAGTTTCGTAGACACCTTTCCAGGAGCCGGTTCAACTTCACCAAGAGATCTGACTGCCTGTGAAGAGAGGGGCGCCTCTTCAGGCCCAGGCCCCGCGCGCCTTGGTGGGGGCCTGCGCTGGCACGGAGCCAGAAGAGGGGTGAAAGGCAAATACCGGCCGGGCTCGAACGCCGGGGCAGCCATCTGGGAGAGCTCGAGGTTGAAGAAGAGAATCCCTTCGGTCGCCCTATTGAGCTTTGGAGAAACGAGTTCGCAGGAAACCTGCCCGAGAACCCTGCGAAGACAAAGTATGAGCCGTGCCTAGACCTGCCCCCTCGGCAGTCTCACGGAATCCCGACGGGCCGCCGGCGGCAGGGCCGCCCGCCCGC